AAAAAAGCAAAAAACAAAACAAAGCAAAAAAAATCTAGAAACGTTTCCAGACTGAGGAAGTCTCTTGGATGAGAGACGAAACGTTTCTAGATTTTTTTTGCTTTGTTTTGTTTTTTGCTTTTTTGAATGTCCAGAGGACCAGATTGAACTTTTTTAGATTTTTCTACTTGGATTATTGAGCATGCATCAGGATGTAGTATGCTTTCTTTATAACTGTTTATTGTTGTTGCTGTTGTCCATTGTTGTCATCTTTCTTTGTTAAATCAGGTCTCTCTTGTAAATGAGTCCTCGAGGCTCAATGGGATTTACCTGTAGAAATAAAGGTTGATCGATATTCAATTCTCTGTAGTAAAATATTGTGATCAACAGCATCAAATGCAGCACTGAGGTCTAACAGGACCAGTAGAGACACCAGTCCATTGTCTGAGGCCATGAGAATATCATTAGTGACTTTTACTAGTGCTGTTTCTGTGCTATGATGAGCTCTAAACCCTGACTGAAACTCTTCAAACTTTAAATCAGAGTCAATCTATGATTTACTTTAAATCATAGTAAAAGTACTTTATTAAAGCTTGTTTTACATATTTTATAATAAATTGTTTGGTAATTTATTTTTGTACAATTAACACTTATTTTGTCATCTATTATGATTTTAACTAGAAACAGTTTAATTTAAATTAACATTTTAATCAGTGAATTACAATTTTACACTAGTTGTCAGGCTACACTCACAATCACCTCAGTTATAGATCCAGGTATTCTGTTGCCATAAAAACGACAAATAAAACATTTATATCTTTTATAGAAATGAAGAATTCATCCCAGATCTAAAGTAAGCTGGAGCAGATCTGGTGCTGCATGGAGGACAAGGTGGAGCATTCTCATGCAGAGAACATCAGAAAAAACTTTATAACTGGTGTTACTCTGGTTTTTTAACGTGTGTAACATTTTTATAAAACACTGCCGACATGGCTGTATTGATCATTGTCTTGCACAGACATTTTTATAACAAATGTTTGCAGTCTCTTTCAGAGTCAGAGATTCTTTATTGTCATTCGCACCTCGTGGTACATGTGGTGGAGCAAAATTGTGTTCACACGTTTCCCTCTAAAATTTAATGATAACTGTTTCAGCCGCTTCTAAAAATGCTTTGATCAAATGCGTAGTCAGTGAAATAATCAGTAATCAGTTCGTTACTGCTCGATAATTACTGAAAGACGCCAGGTAAAGTAAGAAAAGCCGATTTTTGCGTTATGTCGCCGCTCAGACTGACTGACAGCGATGAGCTGTTTGGAACTATTGAGAGCTGCATGAACCACGTGACTTGTCAGCTAGTTCAGAGTGTCGCAGCTCTTGAGAGAGGAGTAAAGGAGGCCATCTTTGTGAAAAGAAACCGTCCATCATTAAACAGGGGTGGAGCCTCCAGGTTCAACTGTCCCCCTCTTACAATGCTGTGATTGCTAGTATCACTCAGCCCTCTGTGAACAGTAAACAGCCATCAGGTGCTAATGATCCATCGTTAGGCTGATGGTCCTTCTTGAGCATGTGATCAGCTGGTTCTGGTTGTCAGCAGCAAAACTGGTTGATCCACTCTGAGAAGGTGCTATTTAAGAGACTGAGCTGAATACAGCTCCTCAGACTGAGGAAGTCCTCAGGATGAGAGACGAAACATTTCTATATATTTTTTGTTTTTTGAACCCGTCTAGAAAACCTGACTTAACTGTTTTGGACTTCTCAGAATCTGATTACTCTGTGGCTTTAATTACATTTCTCAGTAATCTGATTATCTTCAGCAGCAGTTGTGTGGTGTCTCCTCAGGTGTGTTGATCAGCTCGGTGCGTTCCAGACAGAAGAAGAAGATAAAGAAGGGAGGAGAGAAGGAGCAGGTGCTCCTGAAACTGGAAGTAAGGAACTCGACCTGGACTGGTTTGGACTGGACCTGGACCTGGAACAAACGGCTTCAAACCGCTGGATTACAGTTTCATACCTGCAAATTTGTTGCTTTTCAGTGAAATTTGCAGATTTCAAAGTAAAATGTGTAATTCACATGAATAATGTAGATCCCAAGTTTTTGTTTTCACGGGGGAGGGGGGTCAGATGCGTGGTGGATGGTATCATTTCCCTTTAGGAAACAGCGTTTCCTCTCGTTCAGTTGGCTTAGCAGGGTCCTCCTTTCTTCCAGCAGGGCGGGGGAGGAGGGGGAGACACCTCGGTGTTGCACTCTAGCTTACTGCTACGTTAGTGCAGGTGGCACGACAGGGCACTGCCGGGCACTTCTCGACTGGGTAAGGGGTTAGGGTGCGTGAAGAACCAGAGCGCTACGTCTGCAGCATCTTAGCTAGTGCGTCTTTATTGTGCACCGCTAGCTTAGCGCCACGTCAGCATTTAAACAATGTATCTGCTACATACACAAAGATTTTGCCTTAACATTAGAAAAGTCTACGTGATGGTGTTATAGAGAATACCTTGAAGGAGAAGTAAGCCAAGTAACGCAAGTTTTCTGGAAAGTAAATTGTTAAAAACAGTGATGGGGAAGGAAAAGAATGGAAGGAGATGGATGTTATTCCAAGTGGATTGTGAAGGAATGGGGAATAAAAGTTGTGAAGTGTAGAAATTGTGCACTGGTGTAGATTCTCAGTCATCCAGGACATGGTAAATCCAAATAAGGGTTAAAAACAAAACAAGTGGACTTTATTTGTTACGAGATGTTTCACTTCTCATCCGAGGAGCTTTCTCAATCCACAGAACAGGAAGTGTGGAGTTCAAGTTACAAAGATGAGGTGCAAGCTTACAGTACACCTCAGTACACACTATACTGTGTACTTTTACTAAGGTCATGTACACACTATA